TAAAACAAATCAGGACTTGAAGAGACTTTTCTTCTTGTCCTTATAAAATGTCTTGTCACTGAAAGACAAGGCAGAATTCCATGCCATGTTTCAAATAGATTGCCATATTCTGCTAGTTTTATTAAATATACTTTAACTTCTATAATATAGAATAAATACAGTCTAATTATTTCAATGAAGTAATGTCACTCTATTACCATGTACAGGTGAAATGTATTTTCACAAACATTCTATTTGGGACATAATATCAAGAAAGTGAACTCTGCAAGGGTAACTCCTTGCTACCTGATTATGTACTGCATGAGAACAATGCTTGGTGAATGTCTGGCCCTTGGCTGAACTGACTTTCCTAGTTATTAATGGAATAGGTGCTGCAAAGTGTGAACTGAAGGCCAATTTTTGTGCAGAGGATAAAATGTGAAGCAATAGATAGCTCAGGAGAGGACATGGTATATGGGGATACCGTGTCCCTGCAAGGGACAGACATATATTGCTGAGCAAGGGCTCTTCCAGAGTGCCCTGGCAGTTAATCCAATCAGAACTCTGTTCTCTAAATTAAAGCAGGAAAAGAACAGCAGAAAGACAGAGCACCCATAACCGAGAGCAGAAAGGTCCCCAGAGAGAACACTGCAGGAGCAATAAGGCTCTTTTCCTCTTTGTTTCTGTTTGCTTCCTTTACAGGAACTTGGAACGCCTGGTTGTAAGGACTTGAGTTAAAAATGCAGATGTGTGAGTGAGAATTATTAGCTTTTGGGAGGTGACCGACTGGAGACAACTAGAGATGCCAGAATATTCCTGTGTGGGCATAAAAGCTCTATGTGTGTGTGTGTGTGTGTGTGTGTGTGTGTGTGTGTGTGTTGAGGATGGTGTTAGGAAAGGGGCAACCATTTTCAGATGGCCCTGACCATCTCCTACCTGGAGGGATTTTTGGAAGGAATAGGCAATGGATGTCTGGACCATCTCTCAATAGCGTAGTGATGCTGCAGCCTTTACACTGGACTTTGTCCACTCTTTTGCCCATTTCCTCCCCTAGCCACCATGAATGCCTGTTGCCTGGGTATGACATGACCCTTCATAGTTCATTCTCAGACAACATACCTGACAGTGACCTATGTGGAGTTTCACATAGTGGGTCCCATCCATTCATTCATTCTCAAACATTTACTGAATTTCTACCGTGTGTAGGTAGCAGTTCTAGGCACTAGGGATTGATATCAAGTTAAATACTCCTTTTAAGACCTCATGATGGTTTGAGCCATGTGAAAAACGACTAATAGCCTGAGGATAGTACCATAACACAGATGCATAAAGATACAGAGTTGGCACAAAGGAGGGTATGGTTGATTATGCTTGCACAAGGCAGAAAATGCTGCAGAAAACCTTCGTGGTTAAGATGCTAGGTTGTTTTTGGAATCAGACTCAATGAATTCAAATCCTGGTTTTGTCACTTTTGAGCTAACTAAGCTAGAACAAATTACTTAACTAATCTTGAGTGGCCTCCACAAAATGCGTGACCATTATCACATGGGTTCTTGTAATAATTAAATGAGATGATGTGGTTTGTAAATGCATGGCATATAGAAATTACTCAGTAAACTTTCATTATTACTATATTATTATTGTTATTTTTGCCATCATTAGTTGTGAAAATAATAAGGCTTCCCAGAGGACATATTTCAGCTGAGACTGGAAGGGTAAGTTGTGGTCACTAGGCCAGTGATGGGAGGGTAGTGACTGGGGTAGGGATGGAGACGACTTTGCAGAAGAGGAAACAGGATATGCAATGGCCCAGGGCCTCAAAGAGCATAATGTCGATAAATTTGAGGTAGTCAGGCAGGCAGAATTAGTTTAGCTCTAAGCACTTTATTTAGTTCTCCATTCTACTACTTATCATACTACCTTGTAGTTGTTTGGACGTAATCTGTCTTTCTTGTTTCCTCACCTGGTGAACTACTCATTCTTCTGATTCATCTGTTTCTACTGAAGCCACCTTTGCTGTAATATTTCTGCGTTCCTGAGGCCAGCTTACTTGTCTCTCCCTCTGTCCTTGCCCCCATCACACTGCATTGTGATTACTTGGTGGCTGTGCCTTTTCTCCTTACCAGGATTCTAAGATGTCTTACTCATCTTTGTCTGTTCAGCACCTGGGATTGTGGACCTGTGAAGACTGTTTTTTGTTAATTAAAAATAAAGCAGAATGATGAGAAATCATCCGTAAGAATGGAATATCTCATTCTCTCCTGGAAGATCTGAGTCACTTTGAAACAGAGAAGTGGCCTGATTTCTAACCCAGCTGCAGAGCTTCAGATGGGCTTTTTAAGACACAACTTTCTACATTTATATGAATATTGTAGTATCTAAGGAAATAGAACCCTGAGTCCACTATGGAACCCAGGCTTCAGGTTAATCATTTATACGTAGTCCTGCTTGGTCCTGAGCCTATCAAAACTGCTTCGTTTTTACCTGCCTTGCATCTTCTCCCCAAATCCTATAATAGCTCTGTTCCTTTGGTTGATGAGATGCCCGATGGTTCCTCTTCATATGTGGTCTCTTTGCTGCAGTTAGTTAACAAGGAGTGTCCCTGATGGTCCTAATCAGATGAGGTTTAACAGTCTTATGGACATAGGAATCAATAAATGTGGATTCTGGACCTACCTCTATGCTAATGGAGAGACCCAGAGCCAGAGAGCAGATGGTTGAAAAGGTGGGTTCTGTTCAAGTCTGTCCCATACGGATGCTTCCTAGTGGTGTAACCTAGACAAGTCCCCTGAGATCTCTGAACCCTCAGTTTTCTGCTTTATAAAATGTAGGCGATAATAATGTTAATTTCATAATAAGGTAAAAGAAATATGATGGTTAATATTATGTGCCAATTTGACTAGGCTATGGTGCCCAGTCATCTGGTCAAATACTAGTCTCCATGTGGCTGAGAAGGTACTTTTTAGATGTGTAGACTTTGAATAAAGCAAATTACCCTCCATAGTGTGAGTGGGCCTCATCTAATCAGGTGAGGATCTCAAAAACAAAGTCTGAGATTTCCTGAAGAAAAAGCAATTCTTCCTTCAGACTGCAACATAGAAAACCTGCTTTCTTTTCCAGCATGTGGATTTCAGACTCAAAACTGTAACGTCAACTCTTTCTTTTTATTTTTAATTTTTTTAAATTGGAGTATAGCTGCTTTACAATGTTGTGTTAGTTTCTGCTGTACAGCAAAATGAATCAGCCACGTGGATACATATACCCCCTCTTCCTTGGATTTCCTTCCCGTTTAGGTCATCACAGTGCATTGAGTAGATTTCCTTGTGCTGTGCTATTGGTTCTCATTAGTTATCTATTTTATACATAGTACTGTATATATGTCAATCCTAATCTCCCTATCCATCCCACCCCCGCTTCCCCCCTTGGTATCCATGTGTTTGTTCTCTATGTCTGTGTCTCTAACTAATTTGCTTTGCAAATTAGTTCATCTGTACCATTTTTCTAGATTCCACATATATGTGTTAATATACGATATTTGTTTTTCTCTTTCTGACTTACTTCACTCTGTATGACAGTCTATAGGTCCATCCACCTCACTGCAAATAACTCAATTTCATTTCTTTTTATGGCTGAGTAATATACCATTGTATATATGTGCCACATCTTCTTTATCCATTCATCTGTCGGTGGACACTTAGGTTTCTTCCATGTCCTGGCTATTGTAAATAGAGCTGTGGTGAACATTGGGGTGCATGTATCCAACTCTTATCTGAATTTCCAGTTTGCCAGCCTGCCCTATAGGTTTAAGTCTTGGCAGTTCCTTAGGAGTCAATTCCTTAAAGCCTCTTCTCTTTCTCCGTGTGTGTGTCTCTCTCTGTCTGTGTCTGTCTCTCTCTATACGTGTGTGTGGAGAGAGGGAGAGAGAGAGAGAGAGAGAGAAATCTATTGATTTTATTTTTATTTCTCTGGAGAACTTTGACTAACACAGGGAATAAAGCACTTGGTACACTTGCAGGCACATAGGCCTCCATTAGTATGAACAACTATTATCACTAAACTTCCCAGACCCTAGATCCTCACTTATACAATGAGGGCATTGAGTCAGTAATCTCTGCTGTATTATCTAGCTTCATACTCAGAAAACTTAATGGAGAGTCCTGCTTCATCAAATCTGTCCTTCTGGGGCGGGAAAACAAATTAAAGTGCCTAAATCCTTTTCTACTTGATTGCAATACTATTTATGCATTGCTACTGCTTAAGTTTCAAGATGCGCTTAAAAGTATGCCAGTGTGTTCTTGGTAAGTTGAATATGAGAGAAATTTTGTAATGTTCCTGAAGATTTTCACATTCAAAGAGAGCTGTGTTGTTGTTCTTGGTATATCAGAGGATAGGAATTGTTGGCCCAGAGGGAAAATTCAGATAAAGAGGAGGTTGGGAAGGAAGTCTCATTCTCTGGGAGCCTCAGTGCTGTGTGCTTGTAGATTTCACAGGGGAAAAGTATAAGTGGAGATGGGAATTATGAAAGTAAGGGCAGGGTCTCAACTTCTGAGCTTGCTTTTTGTTTTTGTTTTATTTTGTTGTTATTTTTCTTTAAAAGGGAACAAAGCACTGCATTTTGTTTTTGGAAATAATGTCAATATTCATTTATCAGAGATCTCCTTAACTATATCAGCCCATACCCCTGCCTCACAGAGGATCTATTCTCTTATATTCCTCCATCTCTGCTTTATTTTTATTAATAGAATGTATTACCTCCTGATATGTATTTAGTTGTCACTTTGTCTATTGTTGGTTATTCCCACTAGAGTGTAGAGTCCTTGGGAGCAGATATTTTGTCTGCTGTATTCTGTGCTGTATCCTGAAAGTTAGAATTATATTGAAGATATAATAGATGTTCAATAATTATTTTTAAATATAAAAAGACCTGGACACAAATTTTATATTCTCTGTCACCCTAACAATATTACTGTCATTCCCTGAGGCCATGGTTGCATTATTTTTTCTTTTTCTTTACAAGGCAGAAGACTTGGTGGAGACCATGGCATATCTGGTTTCATCCTCCCTCCATAGAGACTGAAGAACTTCCAAACTGCAAATCTCTGGTGAATGGTGAGTGGCTTTATTTCTAGGTTCATGCTATGATTATGTTAGCAAAATATCTCCTGTTATATCTTCTTCTGCTAAGGTATCACAATCTTAGTAATCCCAACCTGAAGCCATTGGACAGTCCTGTGACCAGCTTTGGTCATATCCTAGGTCAACCATTAGCATGTGTCTCCTTGTCTCCATTTTCCCATGTGCTTCAGGAGCATTAAGTGAGATAGATATATAAATAGTCAGAAACTTTAGAATTTTCTATGTATACTATCATGTCATCTGCAAACAGTGACAGTTTTACTTCTTCTTTTCCAATTTGTATTCCTTTTCTTTCTTTTTCTTCTCTGATTGCTGTGGCTCAGATTTCTAAAACTGTGTTGAATACAAGTGGCAAAAGTGGGCATCCTTGTCTTATTCCTGATCTTAGAGGAAATGCTTTCACCTTTTCACCATTGAGTATGATGTTAGGTGTGGGTTTGTTATATAGGGCCTTTATTATGTTAAGGTAGGTTCCCTCTATGCCCACTTTCTAGAGACTTTTTATCATAAATACATGTTGAGTTTTATCAAAAGATTTTTCTGCTTCTATTGAGATCATATGGTTTTTATTATTCAACTTGTTAATGTGGTGTATCACACTGATTGAGTTGAAAATATTGAAAAATCTTCGCATCCTGGGATAAATCCCACTTGATCATGGTGTATGATCCTTTTAATGTATTGCTGGATTCGGTTTGCTAGTATTTTGTTGAGGATTTTTTGTGTCTATGTTCATCAGTGATATTGGCCTGTAATTTTCTTTTTTGTGGTACCTTTGTCTGGTTTTGGTATCAGGGTGATGGTGGCCTCAGAGAAAGAACGATATTATATGATATTGCTTATATATAGAATCTATAAAAAATGAGATACAAATGAATTTATCTACAAAACAGAAATAGACCACAGACATAGAAAACAAATTTATGGTTACCAAAGGGGAAAGTGGGGGGAGGATAAATTAGGAGGGTGGGATTAACATATACACACTATTATATATAAAACAGATAACCAGCAAGGACCTACTGTATAGCACAGGAAACTATACTTAATATTTTATAGTAACCTATAAGGGAAAAGAATCTGAAAGAGAATATATATAATATATAACTGAATCACTGTGCTGTATACCTGAAAGTAACACAACATTGTAAATCACCTATACTTCAATAAATTTTTTTAAAAAGATCTAAGGTAGAATGAAAAAAAAAAGTCAGCAAATGGTAAACTGACTATACAAATGTTCATTACTGCAATACAAACCAGAAAGATGGTGAAAAGAAAGGGAAAGTTAAATTTCCTGAACATCTATTATGTACTTTTATGTTATTTAACTTAGTCTTCATGTCAATCTTGCAAGTTTTACAAAAATATTATCCCCATTTTAAAAATGAGGAAACTATAGCTCAGAGCTGTACTTAAGTTTCCCAAGATCAGATGACGGTAAGTGGTTCACGAGATTTAGCTGAAGGTTTCAAAGACTCTCAAGTGGGTGTTCTTTTCATCAGGTCACACTAACCAACATGAGGAGTGCCACGCCTGGCTTTTAGGCACATGTATATGAATTAGAGAAAGGGGCCTCTTCTGGGTGGTCACAGCCCTGAAAGTGTAAATCTTGGTCAGCACAAGGGGCCTTGCTGGGAGGAAAAAGACGTGCCTTCCTCTGGGTGGAGGTGACCGTGCACAAGGGCAGAGGTTCTGCAAGCAGAGCATGGGCTGTTTTCAGCCCCACTTTCCTCTCAGCTGCAGAACCATGAAGTGTAGCCTTCAACACGGAAAGGATTCCTCTAACAACCTCAGACGACTCGGCATCAGCTTACACAGCAAAGTTAAACAGCATCTGTCCAGGTGTCACTTTGTGGAAAGTGATGATGTAGCTGAACTCAAAGTTGTATTCACCACACTTTAGAGGAGAGTAGTTGGAATTGTTTCTCTAATCATCATTTAGGTGAAGCCTCTTTTGAAAACCCAACAGGAAGAAGCGATGTGCAGGAAAGAGCTCTGTCATTTCTGGACTCTGTGACCTTAGCGATTCGGGAATCATTTGATTATTCGTCACTGATCACAGACCTTCAAGTCAGCATCGGCTCTCAGACCAATTAGGACTGCGAAGAATTACCCAGGTGTAAATGTGGTATTGAGGAACCTGTCTCACTGCCAACAACCATGACACTGCAGAAGTGCCCTTGCTTAATTTTTAGGAAGTGTAGCAAAATGGAGGGGCATGTTAGGCAAACCGAAAAAAAAAAAAAAATGCAGCTCTGCATTGAGACGTATTTCTTCGATCGTTTTTTTGACATCGGTCAAATAATGCAAAGGAGAACTTGAAGACTGAAAACTACTGCAGCAGGTCATTTGAAAGATTTCTAGTGTCTGGAGTTAAACTCACATGAAACAAACTCTTTGGCTTGCAGGATGCAATTGGGTTTTGATTGCACCTGGCTGCAGACCTCTCATTACTGGAGGGCGTTTTCCTTCACTTAACAGAAACCCATGGTGGATAATAGATTCCTTGCTGCTGGGTGGGGTGTGCACCCTCCATTCCCCGTTCGACCTTCAGATCTCTGCCCCGAGGACCTTCATGCTCTGAGAGTGCTTCCAGCCAAGGGACCTTGTTAACAATTCCTTAGCCTATCTTTATACCTCATTGAAAAAAATGAGAATTGATGCTATTTTGAACAAACACCTGAGATAGAGCTAAACATTTGGCTGATTTGCTACAACTCTACTGTAAATATTCAGTAGGGACTTTTTTTTTGTATTCTGTTATCATGTCACACGGAAACTGTCCAACCCATTCTTCTAAAGGGTGAAGATCATTTCCAATCACTAGAATCTTTACCTGTCCACTAACATAGTTACTACCATCATGCTTTCACTGAGCTTTTCTAAAAAAATGAAAATCATTTCATGTTTTTTACTGTTACAGTTATTGGTGGATTTGTTAACCAAACTAGGTGATTTGGAGAGTGCTGGTTTTGAGGGGCAAACTACGTGTTTCTTTTTATTTATTTATTATTTTCTTGAAGTTTTGAATTTTATTTTATTTATGTTTTTAATATAGCAGGTTCTTATTAGTTATCTATTTTATACATATTACTGTATACAGGTCAATCCCAATCTCCCAATTCATCATACCACCATCCCCACCCCTCCACGGCTTTCCCCGCTTGGTGTCCATAGGTTTGTTCTCTACATCTGTGTCTCAATTTCTGCCCTGCAAACCGGTTCATCTGTACCATTTTTCTAGGTGCCACATATATGCATTAATATATGATATTTGTTTTTCTCTTTCTGACTTACTTCGCTCTGTACGACAGTCTCTAGGTCCATCCACATCTCTACAAATAACCCAATTTTGTTCCTCTTCATGGCTGAGTAATATTCCATTGTATATATGTACCACATCTTCTTTATGCATTCGTCTGTCGATGGGCATTTAGGTTGCTTCCATATCCTGGCTATTGTAAATAGTGCTGCAATGAACATTGGAGTGCATGTGTCTTTTTGAATTATGGTTTTCTCTGGGTATATGCCCAGTAGTGGGATTGCTGGGTCATATCGTAATTCTATTTTTAGTTTTTTAAGGAACCTCCATACTGTTTTCCATAGTGGCTGTATCAAGTTGCATTCCCACCAACAGTGCAAGAGGGTTCCCTTTTCTCCACACCTTCTCCAGCATTTGTTCTTTGTAGATATTGTGATGATGCCCATTCTAACTGGTGTGAGGTGATAACTCATTGTAGTTCTGATTTGCATTTCTCTAATAATTAGTGATGTTGAGCAGCTTTTCATGTGCTTCTTGGCCATCTGCATGTCTTCTTTGGAGAAATGTCTACTTAGGTCTTCTGACCATGTTTGGATTGGGTTGTTTCTTTTTTTATGTTGAGCTGCATGAGCTGTCTGTATACTTTGGAAATTAATCCTTTGTCCATTGATTCATTTGCAAATATTTTCTCCCATTCTGAGGGTTGTCTTTTCGTCTTGTTTGTAGTTTCCTTTGCTGTGCAAAAGCTTTGAAGTTTCATTAGGTCCCATTTGTTTATTTTTGTTTTTATATCCATTACTCTAGTATGTGGATCAAAAAAGATCTTGCTATGATTTATGTCAAAGAGTGTTCTTCCTCTGTTTTCCTCTAAGAGTTTTATAGTGTCAGGCCTTACATTTAGGTCTCTAATCCATTTTGAGTTTATTTTTGTGTATGGTGTTAAGGAATGTTCTAATTTCATTCTTTTACATGTAGCTGTCCAGTTTTCCCAGCACCACTTATTGAAGAGACTGTCTTTTCTCCATTGTATATCCTTGCCTCCTTTGTCATAGATTAGTTGACCATAGTTGCATGGGTAAATCTCTGGGCTTTCTTTCCTGTTCCATTGATGTATATTTCTGTTTTTGTGCCAGTACCATATTGTCTTGATGACTGTAGCTTTGTAGTATAGTCTGAAGTCAGGGAGCCTGATTCCTCCAGCTTGTTTTTTTTCGCTCAAGACCACTTTGGCTATTCGGGGTCTTTTGTGTCTCCATACAAATTAAAAAATTTTTTGTTCTAGTTCTGTGAAAAATGCCAGTGGTAGTTTGATAGGGATTGCACTGAATCTGTAGATTGCTTTGGGTAGTAGAGTCATTTTCACAATATTGATCCTTGCAATCCAAGAACATGGTATATCTCTCCATCTGTTGGTATCATCTTTAATTTCTTTCGTCAGTGTCTTATAGTTTTCTGCATACAGGTCTTTCATCTCCCTAGGTAGGTTTATTCCCAGGTATTTAATTCTTTTTGTTGCCATGGTAAATGAGAGTGTTTCCTTAACTTCTCTTTCAGATTTTTCATCAGGAATGCAAGAGATTTCTGTGCATTAATTTATTTTTTATTTTTTTTTGCGGTACACGGGCCTCTCACTGTTGTGGCCTCTCCCGTTGCCGAGCACAGGCTCCGGACGCACAGGCTCAGCGGCCATGGCCCACGGGTCCAGCCG